TTAAAAAGAATTTCATTAGTCAATTAACGAAATATTGGTTAAGTATATCATTTTGAAACAAAATTAATAATTTATAAATCATTTAAAAAAATATTTTTAAATTAAATTAAAATAAATCATATAATTAATAAATTATTTATTAAATTTATCGTTCTACGTATGAATATTAGACTCTGTATCGAAATGATTATTGTTTGGATCACCCTGGGTGGGCATGAACCCAAAGACCGTCTGAGCACCCCAATATTTAAGTTATTCTAACGGCCATCTCTTGTAAAATACTAAAGGGAGAATTATGATTTCGTTTAATATAGCTTTAGTTTTGGGTATTTAATTTTTATTTTTTTATATATTTAATAACTATTACTATTACATTTAGAAATTAAAATTTATCAAATTTAAAAATTTATCAAATTTAATTTAAATATAGTACTAGCTACTAAATATGTAAAAATTAAAACCAAAACTACAACCATGCTAAATAAAACCATAATACTGCATGTAAAAATTTTAATTTTTCATTTTAGAATGGTCCACCACATGCAATGGTGGAAATAATGAGTGAGAATCGGAAGAAATTAATTCTTCTATACAACAAGAATACTACTAATATAGTGATACATTGCCAATCACTTAAATAATTTAATAATAATTTTCATTTAGTGAAAGTAAAAAATTCTAAATTTAAATTGTATAGTATGTAAGTGAAGTTATAAATTAAAAAAAAAAAAAAAAGATTACCTCATATTATATAACTTAACATGAAAAATGCAATAACACATCAGTATGTGTAGCCTCCATTTACAACTAAATAATTAATAAATTAATCTTTTTAATTACAAGTAGGTGTTATACGTGCTAATATATTATTATATCATGGTTTAAGTACCATTTTGGTCCCTCAACTTTTCACTTTGGCACCAAAATTATCCCTCACCTTTAAAAATTACCAAAATTATTCTTAAACTTTCATTTTCGATACCAAAACCATCATTCCGTCAGTTAAATGACAGGTGGCACATTATCTTGCCACAAAATCACATTTAAAAAAAATAATAATTACGTGAAAAATAAACTTAATGAGATGGCATTTTTCTTTTTTCATGTGGCAATTTTTTTTATTTAAATAAAAATCCACATAATTTAATATTAGATTATTCATCTTCTTCTTCCTCACTTCGTCTCTCTCATCCATTCGCCCCTTCTTCTTTCCCAAGCTTCTTCCTCGGCACCGATGAATGGTTCACTCAGCAAGCGGAGAGCATGAGTGAAGCGATCCTAGTGTGCCTTTTGCAGCCATCTGAAGTCCAGATCTTCTCTCACACCTTGATCTGGGTTTTTCTCAAACTCAAATCTGGGTTTCACACATAAATTACCTACATCACATCAGCACCACCCACGGTCACCGGTGTTGTCCAACATCCTTCTATCTGATAATCTCGACCCACGCATCGCCGACGTCAAGATTGAAAACATCGGGCGCAGAAAGGGAAGAGATAATGAGGGAAATAACCAAAGCGGCACCGAATTTGATGTGTATTGTTTTGGAGTTATTTTGATAGAGTTGTTGACGGGAACACAGGGGATGAAGGAAAGTGTGAAGCGCGAGGAAGTTGGCGAAGGAAGGGGTTGGGATTGAAGTGTTAGACTTGAGGGTTTTTCTTATCGAATTCGGATTGCCAGATCTGGGTTTTTCTTCCTCTCCAAAACAAACCCAGATCTGGGTTTGAACAGGGCACGAGTGTGAGGACTTTGAAGCTGAACTTCAGGGGCAGAAAACTCTTGAAGATTTTAACAATCTTGTTGGTCCTTTTGGCACAAAGGAAGCTCCTGCAATCATCAAATCCTTCTATGACAAGAGAATAGTTGGGTGCCCAGGAACTCGTGGTTTTTGTTCTGTTTGTTCAAACTCTTGTGGTTGATTTTTGGTCTTGATTTTGCTATTTTCTTTGTCTTGATAGAATTGGAACTAGAATTTTTGGTTCTCTTTAAACCAGTGCTCGTTGGTTTCTGTGTTGATTTTGCTGGCATTTTAGGTTTAGGTTTGCTACATATCGAGTCTCCGATGGTTAGATATTGTTTCTTTTTTATTTATTTGCATCCATGTGAGTTGACTTGGTTTGATGAAATTTGAATATGTATTTGAGGTTTTTTTTTGGACAGTGATTTAGTTTCTCTTTGTTGCATTTCAATGGTGTCAGAGGAGTCATTTGGGTTTGAGAAAAACCCAGATCTGGGTTTGATTTGGAGAGGAAGAGGAAGGGACAAGAGAGAGAGAAAGTGAAAGAGGAAGAAGAGATGACATGGAGGTTTCATTGTTAGACTGTGATTTAGTTTCTCTTTTGTTACATTTTAGTGGCATCGAAGGAGTCATCTGAGTTTAAGAAAAACCCAGATCTGGGTTTGATTTGGAGAGGAAGAAGAAGCGACAAGAGAGAGAAAGTGAAAGAGGAAGAAGCGATGACATGGATGGAAAAAAAATTTATTATTTTTAAATTAAATAAAATAAAATGCCAACTCATAAAAAAAGTGCCATGTCATTAGTTAAGAAAAAAAATGATTTGCTAGCAAGTTAACGTACCACTTATCCATTTAACTGACGGAAGGACGGTTTTGGTACCGAAATGGAAGGATGGTTTTGGTACTGAAATGAAAGTTTAAGGATAATTTTGATATTTTTTAAAAGTGAGAGATAATTTTGATACTAAAGTAAAAAATTGAGGGACCAAAATAGTAATTAAACTTTATATCATTAGATGAAGATACCGCTAACGCGATGCCTCATTGTTTGAAAAATTTTCTCAAGAATTAGGTGGTTACCGCCGAGCATGGTTGTCAATCTAGGCTTTTGAGGATTGGAAGTTAATTACTTGCCAATTAGGCTAAACCCTTGAGCTAACCAAGGGATCAAAATTGACATTGAAAATACATACAATTAAGGTGGAATAATGAATTCATCTCAAATTACCTTTTTCAACTAATTGAATATGATATTGTTAACAAAATATTAATTATGTACCCAAAAAATCGTTAGGTGGTTGGGGTGTCTATAGATTCAAATCATCCTCTGCCAGTAGTTTGCATATTACAGAAAAATATTGAGGTGGCAAACACGTTTTCGTTCTTATAAAATTCCTTAAGTCATAGAAGCATGTGATGTTCTGATTATATTGACCTACTCCTAATTTTTTTTTTTCTAAAAGCATATATAAAATAAAAATAATTGCATAAAAAATTAGGCTTGGTGATTTTAAAGCGAATGAAGTGTCTTTTTTCCTTTTTTTTTTCCCTCTTATTTCCACTACACAATACTAGTAAGAGACAATCATAGTAGTGTCGGTCATGATTTAGCAACAACTTTTTCTTTCTTATAATTTCTTTTAAGAAAATTATTGGTATATATTCAATTTAATATATTTTTTGACATATTTTTAGTTTAATAAGTAAAAATATAATATAAATATAATTAATTCAGTCATTTTTTTGCATATTGCGGACATGATTGTATTTTTAAATTTATCTCTCTTTAATTTTAGATTAAGAAATAATAACTTTTCAATAATGTATTATATAATGTATTAAATCAAATTTGTACCAATTGCTGTCTCTTTTATATAAGTTGTTGGCATTACTAAATAATAGATGTGCTTTAAATTATTTTTTGTTTTCAAAAAACAAAAAATTGTTTTCAAAAAACAAAAAATTGTTTTCACTCTCATGTATGTGATGGAATGCAAATTAACCAATCAATACTTTTTTCTTACAAAAAAAAAAATGGGGAATGGCTAAATTATTTTCCAAACTTCATACAAACTACATTGAACAATCAAACCATTAATGCAATTACAAGCACAACAAAAGAAAAAAGAAAAAAAAAGAAGAAAATATGAATGAAATTCTAAATGTTCAAGGCTCAAATGCCCCCATTCCCTTTGAAAAATAAGAAAATGTGAAGTAAAAAAAAAAAAAAACAACGTTGACCAGATTCAAGAAGATACAGCTCCCATGCAAACCATCGCAAGCCCAACAACCAAACCCAAACCCATGTTACTCTGACAGGCACCTGACCCAGCCGGGGACGGTTCCTTGGCGCTTGATACTGTGGTGTTTGCCTTAGCTGGGGATGACGTCGGAGCAGGAGAAGAAATCGTAGACGGGGATCCACCAGTCAACTCCTCGGGCAGCAAAACCTTGTCCACTTGATAAACCGCCAGAGGCTTCTGCTGACTCAAAGCATTGCTAATCTGTGTCGTCACTGCCCCGCTTGTCACATTGACCTGGTTGTTCTGTCCGGTGAAGTTCAGTCCCCAGACGCCATCATTACCGGTAGCCTGAGTCCTAACCGGGTTGCTGACGAGCTGGAGATCATTGAGGGAGTAGTATTGGGGAAGAATATGGTACAAACATAGTTGAACCTTTTGCTGCTGGGTGAGGCTGTTTATGGTCCCGGACGGAAGGTTGTTGAAAGCGTTATCGGTGGGGGCAAGGACAGTCAAGCCATTGTTGGAGTTGTTAAGCTGATTTTCGACTTGGTTGAAGATTTGGGTGTCATTTAGAAGACGGATGAAGGTGGTGTATTGGCCGTTCTTGTCAAGGATTCCGGTGAGGTTTGTGGGGGAAGGGGAGGAGGTGGGGGCGGGTGTTTGTGCTAGAGTGAGGGGAGAGAGGAGGCAGAGAGTGAAGAAAATGAGAGGGAGTGAAGTGGCAGCCATGGTTGGTTTGTGTTGAGAGGTAGTGGCTGAGGAGGGTGGAGGTGGAGGGCGGTGGGGAAGGGGATTTATGGGATAAGAAGTAGGGACGTTGAGGCTTGGCTGGAATGAGCTGGCTACAGATGATTTGTACGCGACAAATCTATATATATATATATATATATATTTTTTTTTTTTTTTTTGAACAGGGAGAATGTGAGGAGGGCAGGGGGGGCTGACACTGCAGCTTTGAACTCTGGCCAAAGTCATGAGTTTAAGTGCACCCGGTCAAAGCAGTCGAAGCTGTGGGTGCATTTATATATATATATATATTCGTTAATTACAGCAAAATTAAACGAAGAAAAAATGATAGTGTGATTGGGATTGCAAATTGATTTAATTTTGAATTATGCAATGGTTAAAACCTTTTTTTTGTTCCCTCTATTTTAATAAACAGTTTTTTTTAAATCTCTCTACTTAAAAAAATTTTCTTTTAATCCCTAAAGGTTATTATCTTGTTACCTTTTAATTCTTCCATTATATTTCTGTATAAATATCATGTTAGATAATAAAAATTTTAAAATAGAGAGATTAAAAAAAAATTTTAATAAAAGAACAAAAAAGAGTTTTTCTTCTTCTTTTTTTTTTTAAATAGAGTAGCCAAAAATGACTTTCACTATTGGAAAATGGAGCAAAAGCGACAAGAATATATTCGACAGCCAAGTGGTTGTCGATTATATCCATATAATCAATCGACAACATGGTTGTCGAATATGATTTACTGTCGATTATAATGGATTTTTTTGTGCTTATTCGACAATGTACGTATTTGATAGAAAGGTTGTCGAATATGTAAGGTTGTCGAAGTCGAATATGTGTACATATTCGACAAAAAACCATCTATTGAATATGTTTAATCAATAGCATTACTATCTATTATGTGAGGAAACGATGTCGTTTCCTCTGTATATTCGATAGCCATGGCTATCGAATATACTCATTCATGTCCCCCTGATTCCCCTTTCTTCCCCATTTCTCCTTCTCCCTCTATAGCAGTAGATCTGGTTTCTTCTTTGGCGAGGTTTGCTGTGCCTGTTCTTGCCATGGCTATTCTTGTTTTCACTGTTCTTGCCATCGCACCCCCTATTGTTGAAACCTCCACGCCAGTGATAATGATTTGGCCCCTTTCCTAGTCGATTCATTTTTTTTTATTTTCCTTGGATTTACAATCGGCATTTGCATTTTTCCTTGTAGATCCATGCCTTTTGGTCCAACCTCTATTGCCTCTAAGCCACCACACTAGCTAAAGGAGGTTCCCTACAAGTTGTAGCACAGTGACTGGTAGTTTCTTTTTTTTTTCTTTCTTTTCTTTATTTTGTTGTTGTTGGTTTTCCTTGTTTTTTCCTTGGATTTGGGTTTACAAGACCCTAATTTTTGTTTTTTGTAGGTCGAAATCCAACTTTTACTACCTTCACTACCTCCACAGCATCACCATCCCCACTGCCAGAGGTAATTGGGATTTTTGTGGTTTTTTAATACAAATTATACTGTCTCAATTTGTAGAGTAGTGTAGATTATTGCTACTATTGCATGAACTATCAATGGATTGTAGTTATTTTTTTTTAAGTTTTTGAGATTGAAATTTGTACGTTAGTTGAAGAGTTTTTTTAGTAAATTCGTATATACAAAATTAGGGATTTTGGATTATTAAGTTTGAGATTAAGGTTGAGATTGATATTGAGATTGAGGTCTAAATATCTATAGTTATTGAAGTAGAGTGATATTTATATTGAATTTCTATGGTCACAAATTTGTTATTTATTTCAAATTAGCTCAATCTAAGAGATTGATATTGAGATTGGGATATGCATTATTATTGAACTAAAATGATTTTTAGATTGAATTTTTATATATCAAATTGTTTATTTCAAATTATTGAGATTGAGATCGGTATGGTAATTAAACTAGAGTATTATTTATATTTAATATAGATATTTATAAAGCTACTTATTCAAAATTATTTACATTGAGACTAATATATGTATGATTGTTGAAATATAGTAGTATTTCTATATATTGAATTCATATACATAAAGATATTTAATTTAAAATGATTAAGATTAAGATTAACATGTGTGGTTATTCACATGTATGGTTATTAGTTGATATGTTAATATACTTCGTCAAATTGAAATTCAAATTAGGTAATTAAATGATGAACGACTATAGTTGGATTGATCGTCGTATAGATGATGGTGGTTTTGTTATCAATGGATTTAAAGAAGGGGTGCAATTTTTTGTAAGATTTGCATTTTCTAAACTGAAAGTAAAATAAAAGATTAAGTGTCCTTGTTCGAAATGTAAATGTAACAAATGGGAGAACCCTGAGGTAGTCTTTGTGCATTTGTGTAAGCATGGGTTTATGAATAACTATTATACATGGTATGTTCATAGAGAGACATCCAACAATACAGTAAGAAACTTTGAAGGGGAATCTTTTAATATGGAGTTTGTTAGAAATGAGGTAGATGCAATTTACTGTGAAATGGTGGTTAATGCATTGGGTGCACAATCTGAATACAATGAAGGGCCAATGGCTGAGGAGCCAAATAGTAAGGCAAGAGAAATTTATGATCTCTTACATGCTGTAAAAGTTCATATAGGTGCCAGGGGACAGGATATTACAGTACTTTCATGGATGACAGAAATGTTAAACATGAAAACTCTTTATAATATGAGTGTTGCTACTTAGGAGATGGCATTGTCATTGAGTCGAAAGTTGTTGAGTCTAGAGGACCAAGAAAAGGTGCCAAAGGATTTCTACAGTGCCAAGAAAATGATAAATGTGCTGGACTTGGGTATAAGAAAATTGATGTTTGTGTCAATAATTGCTTCTTGTACTATGATGAGCAAAGTAAGAATTTAACTACTTATCCAGTGTGTGGAGAATCTCGTTATGAGTCAAGGAATATGGCTGTTATGAGGCAGAAAGATGTTCCAAGGAAATCTTTGTGGTACATTTCAACTACCCCAAGATTGCACATGACATGTCATTTGAAATGCCGTGAGCATGCAGATGAAGTTATTCATCTTGCAGGTAGTGAGGCATGGAAACAATTTGATGAAACCCATCCAACATTTGCTGAGGAACCTAGAAATGTTAGAGTTGGCCTCTACATAGATGGTTTCAATCCATTTGGTTGCTCTGCAACACCTTACTCTTGTTGGATTGTCTTTCTTACAGTGTACAACCTTTCTCCTGAATTGTGTATGAAATCAAAGCATATATTTCTTGCCATGATAATTGTTGGAACTAAAAGTCTAGGAAAAAACATTGATGTCATGCTTAGGCCATTAATTGATGAAATTAAGGAATTGTGGACAAATGAGATTGAAACTTATAATAGTTTCAAGCAACAGAATTTTATCATGAAAGCTGCATTGCTATGGACTATAAGTGATTTTCCAAGTTATGGCATGTTATCTGGATGGAGCATACATGGGAAGTTGTCATGCCCTTATTGCATGGAGAACACTAAGGCTTTTCAACTTTAATATGGGAGGAAAACATCATTTTTTGATTGTCATCATCAATTTCTACCTCCTAAACATCCATTTCGTAGAGATAAAGAAAGATTTTTATCTTAATAGAGTTGAAAAAAGCCGCCCCCCCTCGAAGACTAGATGATACTTTGATGGAAGAAAAAGTTAATCAGCTCCCTGACATAGTCTTTGGCCAGCCACTTCATAAACATTCAATTGCAGGATTTGGTGTTTTTCATAATTGGGTGAAATGTAGCATATTCTGGGAACTGCCATACTAGAAGGATTTATTAATTGGTCATAACCTTGATGTTATGCATTGTGACAAGAATTTTTTAGACAACATTAAAAATACTATCATGGATGACAAGGGTTGTATGAAGGATAGCACAAATGCTAGATTGGATCTATAATTGTATTGCAATAGATTTGAATTAAAATTGATACCTCAAGATGATGGAACGACTATAAAACCCAATGCTACATATGTTCTTATTCAAGAGCAACGAGCTCTTGTCGATCAGTGACTAAAGGAATTGAGATTCCCAGATGGGTATGCATCCAACATAGGAACTTCGATTGTTTGGGATGAAAAACCATGATTGTCATGTATTCATGCAGCGCCTCTTGCCAATCGCTTTCCATGATATCCTCATAAATGAAGTTTAGGGTCCCTTAACTAAGATTAGTAACTTTTTTAGAGCTTTACCTGCTCCGATTATTCAAGTCATTAACATGGAGATGTGGGAGAAAAAATTGTTGAGACCAATTGCAAGCTAGAGAAAGTATTCTCGCTAGCATTCTTTGACTCAATGGAGCATTTGACAATCCATTTACCATATGAGGCAAAAGTTGGAGGACCTGTCCAATTCCGTTGGATATATTCTTTTGAAAGGTATATTTCTTCTAATACGTTTGCATTACAATAACATTCATAAGCATATTTAATAATTTAATCTTATTAATTAATTTTCTTATTTGTTTAACAGAAAAATGTATGACCTTAAGAAAAAAGTGTTGAACAAAAATCATGTTGAAACTTCGATTTGCGCATCCAATATTCTTTCAGAAATTACCTTTTTTTGCTCGCATTATTTTGGAGTTGACATAGAGACAAGACTGAATCGTCAACCAAGAAACATTGTCAATAGAAATGATGATATGGATAATTGTTTGTTTGTCTTTAAATATCAAGATCAACCACTAGGTGGAGAAATGCGTAGGCGTGCACTATCATCCAAAGAATTAAAGGTAGTAGAACTTTGTGTTTTGCTTAATTGTGAAGAAGTTAATTCATGGATTGCATATGTTCTAGTTCTAACTGTCATTTTTTTAAGTTACTAGTATGTATAGATTGTGTACTCCAACTTCTTCATGTAGGCTTTTTGATTATCAAGTATGTTCCGGTCTATCACCAGATCAAATTCAAATCAAACAGCAACTTAAATTTATTCCTTGGTTTAAGACAACAATAAGTAATTTATTTTAATAATTTTTATTATTAAGATCTCATTTTTTATATTATTTAGGGTAATAGTTATTGGGTTAATGGATTCTGGTTTCATACTATCGCATATGGATAAAATAAAAAGACCATGAATAGCGATGTTTGTATGAAGGAAACCACTTTCAATGATGAGTCAAATTACCATGGAAGTTTGAAGGAAATAATTGAGTTTCAGTATTTTGACTCATATGTTCATCAATTAGTGATTTTGTTTAAGTGTGAGTGGTATGATATCAACAAAGGCATCATGGTCCATCCGACATCTAATATAGTTGACATAAATCCTTGGTTTAAATTACAAATAGATGAACCATTCATATTGGCCAGTCAAGCTTAACAAGTGTTTTACGCTTGTTATCCAGCTCAAAATCCTTGTAGAAAAGGGTGGTTTGTTGCATGTAAGATTAGGGCAAGAGCAATAATTGACACTTCATCATTGAGTGATGGTGGAAATGATTATTATCAAGACGATGATCCTCCTATGCCACAATTGGTGCAACCCTCGACTATTTTAAATGATCATGCTTCATTAGCATCTCAAGGGGGAGAACAACTGGTGATTAGTGAGGTCATGCAATTGCCATATGTGGTAGAGGAAGAATGTGTGGATGAGGATGATGATGAAGAGGAAGAGTTTGATGGAACAGAAACATCCAAAAAAAAGAAGTTCCAAATTATTTAATCGAGAGTGATAGTGACTAGATGTATCTTATTTGATTTTTTTAATTAATTGAACAAGGGATGAAGGACTAGTTATATTTTCTTTGTTCTAACTTAGTGTTGGCTCAATGCACTCCAAGAGGGGGGTGAATTGCAGTTAAAAAATTTCCTTCTCTTTGCAACCACAAAGAAAGAATTAAAGAGAGTAAGGAAGAGGAGCTTGCTCAATGATTTTATAGAGGTTTGGTCTAACCACTTAGAGCCTAGTCCTCTGCCTTGGTTTCACTCACCAAGGATTTCCTTCACACTATCCACTATCAAGAACAAGGGTGGCTTAAAGGAGCCATTCAATCCTTTTATCAGAAGATAAGTATTTCTCTGAAATCTCACCCCTTTACAAGATAAACCCAAACAATCCTCTCTACAAATCACTCTTGAAGGAATAATCACACCTCCGAAGATCACTCACAAATAGAATAAGAAGAGGATTACAAGTAAAGATCTCTCAAAGATCAAAATCTCAAGTTAAAGCACAAGTTGGTAGGTAAAAATATTCAATACAATACTCTCTAAACTTGTTCTAGATCTTCCACCAACCATATTTATAATCTCATGGTTGAAAATAGCCATTACTAGCCGTTGGAGTCATTAAATGCTTTGCAAGTTGCATAATTTCGAGTTGTAGATTTGTCAGTACAATTGGCTTAAATTTCTAGAGCCGGCTTCACAGCTAGCTTAAAAACTCTATAGTTAGCTTTGCAGGTTTCCTACATGTTCTGTTTTCTCCGTAGAGCCAGCTTAGATCCATAGAGCAGGCTTTGCAGGTTTCCTACACATTCTGTTTTCCTACACATCTTATTTTCCTGCACATTCTGTTTTCTTGCGCAACCGGCTACAAAAAGTAAAG